TCACACACTATATGTACCAACCTAGACATTAACAAGTCTCCTACATTTATCACACACTATATGTACCAACCTAGACATTAACAAGTCTCCTACATTTATCACACACTATATGTACCAACCTAGACATTAACAAGTCTTCTACATTTATCATACACCATGTGTACCAACCTAGACATTAACAAGTCTCCTACATTTATCACACACTATATGTACCAACCTAGACATTAACAAGTCTCCTACATTTATCATACACCATGTGTACCAACCTAGACATTAACAAGTCTCCTACATTTTGGTGTATGATATATGTACCAACCTAGACACTAACAAGTCTCCTACATTTATCATACACCATATGTACCAACCTAGACATTAACAAGTCTCCTACATTTATCATACACCATGTACCAACCTAGACACTAACAAGTCTCATACATTTATCATACACCACATGTACCAACCTAGATCATATGTACCACAGAAAATATCGATACTAAAGTTGCACACTTAATTCAATGCTTTACTAACGTTAACCAGTTCCTTACTAAAATAGTTACAGAAACTATTAACGAATTAAGAAAACACAGACAAGAGACACTTAACAAACTCAAAAAAATAAAACAAATAAACCTAATTACTTGCACTGTGTCATCTATAGATAATAGTAGCATACCTCTGTCGGAAATTAGCAATAGACTATAACATAAATGTAAGCTTATTATAACGACTGTATTCATTCCCACTCCTGGAATGAAACTAAACACGTTAAGAAATTTATATAACGAACCCACACCACCAGGAAATATTTACAAAATAAAGTGTAACAGTTGCCCAACCTTCTACGAAAGTGAAACAGGACGTAACTTGAAGGTCAAGTTAAAAGAACACCAAAAACCCTCTTCCCAAGTCCATGAACATATGAATAAAAACAAACAGAATGTCATAGTACTAAAATATGAACTTGACATTAACAGAAGAAAAATCAGAGAAGCTTTATTTATAAAAATCAAACAATCCCACAATTAACAAATATCCAGCTCCATCTCTGTATGTCTGTGATCGTTATTTCCCCACACATTACTAATATAATGAAAATATTTTGCATAACATGTTCTATAATTATTTCTTGTTCTTGATATACATATATATCAAGAACAAGAAATAACAAAAGTTAATAAATATATATATATATTTATTTATTAACTTTTGTTTTTAGCCATAAATAAATAATCAATTCACGCGGATTGATATGTACATACATAAGTAACCACTATCAATTATAGTATTTAAATACATTGTTAAATTGTTGAATGTCGGTTTAAATACGTAATCGTTCTTTACCGTTAAAACTTTTGTACTTGAGAATGATTGCACCAGTGACCGAAACGTTGTACCTGTTCTAAATACAAATCTTACTTACTGTAAAAACTGTAACTTGTAATAAAATAAACTTAATCGGTAAGTAAACTCAACACGAAACTAAAATTTGTTTCTTTGTTTGTATTTAAGCACAAAGCTACACAAAGGGTTATCTGTACTCTGCCCACCACGGGTACCGAACCCGGTTTCTAGCGTTGTAAGTCCGCAGACATACGGCTTTGCCACTGGTGGGCCTAAACTAAAGAATAACTTTGTTTATTCACATAACACCGGGCAACAACAAAAATTGTTTCAACTACTAGAAAAAATGAAACTGTTTCTGAGTAATTTAATGATGCTGATTCTAAAAATCATGTTTTAAAATTACTTATCTCCTCCAGTTTTCGAGGTCTGATAGATTTATTCAAAATATTCTTATATGTGCTACTTTGATAGAGACAAGTTACGAATCGGGTCAGTTAGCTCTTCTTGTGTGATTAGATGAGGCAGTTTAGGTTGAGGTGCCACAGGAATAGAAATACTAGATGAAGAGGATTCATTGTCTTCTTCGCAGGATAACTCTTCTGTTTCCCAATTCACTTGTTGATGTAGCACTGGAAGACCATCCCCATGAGGTACTGGTTTCATTACAGATTCAATATCTGGATATTTAATGTATTATTTAGTTTAGCTTGAACAGCCAGAAACATTAGTCATGTTAAAATAACATAGTTAGATGATCTTTGGACTCACTCCATATCATATCATGGGAACTGCAAATGGGATATTTGCTCTATCCTTATTCAGCCACTGTGTCAAGCCAGATGTGTAAACTGTACAACACACAGGTGGAGCCCAATGTTTTTCTTGGTCACCAGCTTCACACCTGAAATAATGGTATTAAACTATCTTTACTTTGTGTGTGATGTTTTTCATTCGAGAAACTATAATATACTTTCCACAAATGTAGCAGAAACTGTTTGGGTCATTTTTTGCACTTATAAACTTTACTTAAATTGGAGGCAGCCATCATTTGAAATGATTTTCTCAAAAAATATAAAATAATTTATGTTTACAGTACAAGAGTTTTAAAAGATTTTATAAAACAAAGTTTTGCAGAATTTGATTATATCGTGGGTACAATGTGAGGAAGAAGATCTGACTTATTTTGACTGTTTGCAGAATGAGGCGAAGTGACCAACTGAGTGAGTGAGAGGCGTCTGACTCCGCCCCTTTTATGCTTAGTTGAAGGACTTTTCGGTTGTTCTAGAAAACTGAGCACGTGAGGGTTTCGTGGTTCCCTGGCGGAGCAGTTGAAAGTGGAATTGAAGCAAGAGTGGTGCAATTCGCTACAATTATATCGAGAACAAATAGTATATATGAACAATATATTTGGAATTTTACACCAACACATTACAGCCAATGTTTCAAGTTATCAAACATGTATGTCTTTTACCCATTAAACTGTCCAAGTAAACTTAATTTCACAGCATAAATAAATTGTACTGAGTTGATTGCATGGTATTTCACATAGTGTTAATAAAATATTGAGATATTATAATAACTCAAAATCTAGAGATGGCGGACACATTCTGACTATATTTTTGAAATCAGCATCATCAAATTACCCCGAATCACTTGAGTTATATAATAATATTTTCTATTGCAAACAATAAACTACGAACAGTATTGTTACGACATCGGGGTCACGTGACGCTAGTAAAACGTCATTGACTTCTAGAAATATCCTGTTGCTTCATGAATGCTCTAGCGTTTACTAGATATGTGTTAGTCTGGTATATATAAGACGGTCACAACGTGACGGAACAATGTGTGTAATTGAACTGC